CTGAGGTCACCCTGGAGCCTTCTCTTCTCCAGGCTGAACAGCCCCAACTCCCTCAGTCTGTCCTCATCTCCAGAGGTCCCTTCCAGCCTCGTCTCTGCTCTGGTTCTGGGAATATAACTGCTGCCCCACTGTTGTGCAGTTTTCTGTCATCTTCATTGGTAAACGTCTTGTCCTAACCCTTGCACGATTCAGGATAATTGTACGTATTTCGCGTTTATGGGTGCTGTGATTTCATCTGTCTCCCTTCGGGAAGAGAGAATTGTTCTCTCCCATGAGATTAGCTGGAGGCCATCTGTGTATGGCTGAGCACTGGTGGGATTTATCACCTGAAGAGCAGTCTTCCTGTTTGCTCGTTGAGCCCCATGCTTTAAAATAGTCATATGTCGTTTGGATTCTGAAGCAAAATGGCGACCTTGCCATTGCTGGTGCAGTGCTTTTGTGCCTTGAGTGTCCTGTGTCAGGTTTTAGTTTCTGCACTGAGACATTGATGGTGCAGCTTTATGGCTTTATAGCAGGCTGCTAATGAACACTACTCTGTATTGTGGCAAGTGAGGAAAAATTATTTGTTTGAAAACGCAGTTGCTTTGAAAGGAGCTGGATCCTGCTGGCGTAGTCTTTACAGTGAGATGGCTGCAGCGTGTTTATTTAGCAGTTAGTGTGGCATGCACAGCTCCCTGTGATTGGTACTGGAGGGAATTCCTTCATAAGAAATTCCCTGTGAAGCCTTTATGAAGTTAACCCTGAATATGACAGCACTGGGATGCGTGTGCCAAGTGGAATTCCATCGGCAGGATGTGTTTTGGTGAGGCAAGCATGGCCGCAGAGTGCATGCTGTGGCTGGTTGCTGTCTTCAGCAGCTTGTGAGAGCTGGGAGAAACGCGGGAATACCTGGTGCCCGCATTTCAGCAGCTGAATCTTCCAGTCTGAAGGGCTCGTTCTTGATCCTCGTACCTAAAGAGGTCCATCAGCAGCCTGCCAGCGGTGTCTGACAGCAGCGGAAGGAGCCTTACCCAGGAGGGCTGCTGCTGTCACCCAGGCGCTGTTGGCAGTGGGGGCGAGTCTTGGGGTGTGGTTTTACCCCCATCTCTTGTGACCTTACTGTCTTTAATATTAATGTCCCAAAGACTATTTCTGAGGATCTAGAAGCAAGCTAGAAGCAGCCCTGATTCGGGACCTGTTGGGTGGTGCTGGGAGGCTTGGTCACAGGTCTTGCCCTGACCCTGCATGTTCAGAGAAGCAGTTCTGGCGAGGCGGTGGTGTTCCCTCCCGGTGCCTGGCTGCTGCAGTCTTTTCTCTCTTCTTTCTCTGGAGATTGTTTCTGACAGGTTGATATTTCTGGTGGTGCTCTGCCCTTTGTTTCTGCGTTGGAAGATGGTGGGTTGAGCTGGTGGTAGGGGAGGCGTGCTGGCTGCTGGTAGGGGTTGTTAGCAACTTGGGTTAGGGAAGATGGAGCTGCAGTACGGTCGGGAGCTCGTGGTTTGGAAGGAGGACTATTGCTGTGAGGAGGCTCCGCAGGTAAGTGGCCTTCCCCCTGCAAGACATACCCCGAGTTACAGAAGCCTCAGGACAGCCTGGTGTACGCTCCATGCGCAGAGGGACTCGGGGGGCTGTACGCGAGCTGGGAAGGGTTAATGCACCCCTGTAAAGAAGTGATGTGCATTGATGTGAACGGCTCTGAATCTTACCAGTATTTTGTAACTTTTTGTTCATTGTTTTGCATGGTACTTTCAAAACCATAATTTTGGACCTGAATGCCAATTTCCTATGTGTTTAACGAGCTTGCTATATCATAAAGCTTTTAATCTATTTTTTAAAAAAGCTAAAAGCTTCTTAACGTGTATTACGATTTCACCATCTTAAAAGTATTTTATAACTACTGCTGTCCTTTGATTTGTTTCCATTTTATTTCTATTATCTTGCAGCATCTTTTATCCAAATTCTTCTTTCTTATAAATCTTGTAAGTAGGAACCAGTAGCTTTTCCTTAATTGCGGTCATGCTTTTCTTTCTCCATAATCCACATTTTATTTGTAAATTCATTCTCATTGTCTCTTGTAGCTTTTGCACTTTTACTTGAAAAAGACAAGTAATTTTTTTGTGTGTGTTTTTGAATGGGGAGGATTGTTGGCAAAAGCAAATTAATCTGCCTGAATCAGTCCCATCTTTTCTGTACTTTAGTCTGTGATCATGTCATGAGTTTCAGGACTTTGCACTAACCATGTTTTTTTTACTTAAAGCTTATTTTACAGACCTAGTGTTTGATTTGTATGCATTGTGCATGTAGTGTTTTTTTCCAACTACAATATATTGCTGGATAGCTTATTTAGGACAAAAAATGGCTCATGGGAAGATGCATAAAGATTTGTGTTTATTTGCTGCTTGTGTCAGGAAAATTTGTAAGGTAACAGCAGGTTAAACCACGAATTTAAAGACAAAAAAAGAAGAGTAGACACTTGTCATTAGCATGTTTCCTTTAAAAAAAAAAAAACCCACCAAAAAACCTCCTTATCCATAAATTAACAAATACACCAGCTGTCAAAGCGTTAATGGGCCTTTGTTTGCAAGACTGGTTGTGAACATGATGTTCCCCAGTGCCCCAGGCTTGAGGCAGAGGAAGATCTCTGCTGCTGGTGGAACTACATTGGCATGATGCTGTTAGGAGCACACGTTATCTTTTGCTTGATTTGGTAGCTTATAAAACTTTTGAAAATCAATATAGTCTTGGCTAAAAATAAGAAAGAATGTGCTCTTTCTGCCATTAGTAATCAAAAAAATCTTAAAAAATCATATTGCTCTCAAGGTATCTTTTTTGGTTGCCATCCTGGAGGAAAGGATGAAGGCAGCAAAGCAAAGCACACAGCCTCCTGCATCGTATGCACGAGGCGCTGATGTGAAAGGGGGCCCAGAAATCTCCCTAGAAGGACCCGAGTTCAGCTGAACTGTCCTGCAGGGAGGGAGCACAAAGCTTGGCAGGACCACGTCCCGTTTGGGGAGCAGCAGGCTCCCGAGGGACTGCTGAGGAGCGTAGTGTGGGGCAGGGAGCAGGAGAGGGCCAGCCTCCCCTGTAGCTGCTCTCTGGGGGCTGTCTAACCACTAATTCATTTGGCAATTTCAGTAGTCAGGTGAGGAGAGAGGGACCAAATCAGGAGGGTGGGTTTCAGCAGACTACTTCTTCTGATAGGAGTCCTTAGTTTTATTTATTTTGTTGTTTTGTTTTTTCTTAATAAGTAAGTTTATACAACAGAACTGGATCAAAGCAGCTTGGTGTTCAGAGCAGCGTAAGACATTAGCTGGCCAGTTGAAAATTAAGCACTTGTGTGGAGGTCACAGTAATGGCACCATCTAAATCCTTTTTAGTATTTTCAGGCAGGAAGGCAAGGTAGTACTTCACTTTTCTGGGGATGAGAAGTAGGTGAGGGAAGATCCTTGTCCTCCAGAGAGGGTAGGAACTGGTCCTGAGTGTAAGCGTACTCTTCCCAGCAGAAAGTTGGGACAGGCTGTAGAATATGAAGGTCAGTTGTTGTCATGCTCATAAAGAAAAAAGTTAGTTACACCCATAAACACTTCCTAAACAGAGGCACTGTCTCAAGTCTAGTGAACTAACAGCTTCATGATAACTCCTAAATTTGACTTGATCTTTGTGTCCAGGATCCCATGAGCCTATTAAATATGTTAACAAAAGCAGTGAAATGCTGTGTTTTTTTTTTCTCTTCCCAGCTATAGCAACTCAAGCTAGTGTGGAGTTTCGCCGGAAAGGATCACAAATGTCCACAGACACAGTGGCTTCCAACCCCATGTTTGATGCCAGTGAATTCCCAGACAACTACGAAGCGGGAAGGGCAGAGGCGTGCGGGACACTGTGTAGGATATTTTGTAGCAAGAAGACTGGGGAGGAGATATTACCAGCTTACCTATCCCGGTACTAACCTATCTTCCAGTTGATTTATTAGTGTAACTTTATGGTGCAAATGAATTTGCAGTGAATAGCATTCCGTGACTGTCCGAACGCTGTGCTGCCCGTTCGGAAGACGTGGTCAGCCTGCAGGTGCTGTAGGTGGGGATCCCCGGCCAAACCAAACAGTGATTTCCTTTCCTCTTCTGGTGATGCTCGTTTTCTCTGGGTTTTCTTCAAGTTCCAGTTGAAGGGAAGTCCCTGAAAGTGTCTCCCAGTTGGAAGGAACGTTGTCTTTATAATACGTTCTTGTCTCTTGTATTCTTGGTTTTTTTTTAATTTGTCACTGAATATTGTTCAGAAGGAAAAAAGAAGTGTGCAAACATGAGACTTTGTGCACTTTATTAGACCGTGAGGGGTCCTGTGTTGTCAAACACCACCACCCTGGGATGGAATGTATCTGAGGGTTGGGGGGTGCCCTTTAAATATAGAAGTGCACTAATATTCCATTATTCAGAACAGTTGTGTTCTGAACTACCTCTGTTTACAGGTCTTTTTCCTAATGAAATAAGGCAATCTTGCCTATCACAGTATACCTTTTTTCCAAATTTTTGTTAAAAAGTAAAACAGCAAAGGCTAGAGGCAGAGAGCCGACTTTAAATCCTGTCTCTCTCCAACTGTGTGGGTACGTTTGTCCCAGGTGGCATCAGGACTCCCTGGAAGACTGAGCCATTTTATTTCTTGCATGTTGTAGTGTTTTGTGTATAGATGGCTCGTGTTTCTCTTACCCAGTCAGTGAGTTTCCTCTGTGTTTGCAGGCCTTTTAAAGAGATAAAATAAGGAGGATAGAAGTATTCTCTAACAAGGAACTGCAAAAGAACTGCTTTAGGATGAAGGCCAGCTAGGTTCCTGCCCCCCTGCTTTTTCTTTTGAACTGGTTACGGTGGATGTGTTTGGTCTCATCCTCCAAATCGCTGATCAGCACGTCCTGTCCTGTCCCCCTCAAAAGATTTCACGGTGTTTTTCTTGTGCTGGGGAGTTAAAATCAAGGTCTCGTTCCCATCCTTACGTGGGGAAGGGAGTAGAGGGAGAGCACGTGGTCCGAGCACTGCCGGTGAGCGGCTGGGCTGTGCTTTCGCAGCTCCCAGGGCACGTCCCGCGGCGAGTCAGAGGCTGCAGCCAGACTCTGCTGTGCGGGCTTTTCACGTGAAATATGTGCAGTCCGTGAGGGGGGTTGTTAGCGGTGGGTGCGTTTGCCTGTGCTGAAGGAGCTTGGGGGGAATGCTCAGATCAATGTTTCCTGGCTCTCATTTTAAAACATTGTTTTATATAGAAAAGATCAAATAGTGGCTGCACGTTCTTGTTCATGTGGGGTGCTTATGCTTTTTATGTGCACAGAATTTAATCTTATCTTTCTTTGTCAGATTTTACATGCTTTTAATTCAGGGTTTGCAGATAGCAGATTTCATTTGCCACCCGGTTCTTGCCAGTGTTATTTTAAACTCCCCTCCTTTGTTCTGCTGTGACCTGAAAGGAATTGATGTCGTGGTTCCATATTTCATTTCAGCTCTTGAAACTATTTTACCTGACAGGTAAATTGCTGTTTCCATATAAATATCATCAGAAATGTGGGGAATTGTTTATCTTCTGGGGTTTCTGCCATTTCTGAGTGGTTTTCGCTGAAGGAATTCTGTAATGTGAGCCCCATACTGTGAACGCGTTAGATAAGTGATAACAGTGGTGCTCGTAAGCTCTAATTTTTCATTTTATTTAATGCAATTTTCTTTGAAGCAGTAGTAGTGCTTATTTTAAATGAAATATGTGAGTTGTGTTATCTACATATTCACTGATGGAAAGCAGCATGTGTAAGAATAGGGAAAAGGAGTGATTTAGTTGAAATATATTTAAAGCCTACTGATTTTTAAGTAAAATTTTACAGGACATTCATTAGTGGCCGTTGCTGCAGTGAATTCATTAAGAGAGTAATCTTACACATCATTAAATATAAAAATTGATAATTTTAGAGAGGCTGGTGAAAATGGAGTAGGTTCTTAAACCAGAAGACACAACCTCACGTGTCAGAGCTTTGCAGATTTCGGGATGTTTTGCTAAGTAATTTGAGGAACGTGATGCTGCTCTGCATGCCACCCTCAACATATGTTTTATGTCTTGGTACTGCGTTTCATTTTGAAGTTACGCATAAAATATTATTTATCTTCTGGGCATAAATCTGAGCCACTGCTTCTTTTGGATAGGTCTTTAGAAGTGGCAGAATTTGCTGATGGCTACTGACAAAAGCTGATCTAGTTGCCAAGCAGCTTGTGTTTTATGCCGTGTGCAGACGAGCATGTTCTGTCGCTCTCCGATAATCCAGGGTGGGTTGGAGTTGTAATTAGCCAGTAGAGGCTCTGACTGAAACTTCCTGCTTTGAAGATGCAAGACATGAATAAAGCTTCCAACAGCTCGTTGCTCCTATGTGGAGTGCAGAACCTTTAGCAAGTGCTGGTTTCTGCATGGATTCCTTCTGTTATTGCTGCTGTTCAAATAAAAAAATAAAAAATCCTGAGCCTAGAAAGAAGCAGCTACGTTGTGTACTGCAAATTATGTAAGACCACTGAGTGGCTGTATATTTAATTTTAACTTAATTAATTTGGCTTCAAATTCCTGTGAGAAGTTGATTAACTATATGATGCTTTGATTTGCAGAGAACTCTCAAAGTTTAAAATCTATGTAAACCCCACAGAGCTAAGAAGAGCTTCAATTAACATCTTGCTGTCTCTGTTGCCTCTCCCTCATCACTTTGGAACCATAAAGTCTGAGGTAGTAAACTCACCACTTTGTTTTGCATTTCCTTTTTTGTTCTGCTGATTGTTTTGGGATTGGGATGACTCGTGGGATTTAGTTGGTGTTCTGTTTGCCACTGAAGCTCTGCTAGCGAGTCTGTAACAGTGCTACTGACAGCTGTTAGTACAGTCTTACTGTGTGCTGTGGTGGTTGTCTTTCAAAACCAACACCATGCTGGTGTGATCTCTGACTGATCCTGAAATAAATGTATTTTTCCTTCAGGTTGTCCTGGAAGGGAAATTCAGCAACGATGACAGCTCCACATATGATAAGCCAGTAACCTTCCTTTCCTTGAAGCTGAGGCTTGTGAATATACTTATAGGAGCTTTGCAGACGGAAACAGATCCCAACAACACTCAAATGATACTAGGTTATTTCAACTTTTATGTTTATTAACTGTGTTATAAAAATGTCTGCCTGAATCTGTACTGGAATAATATGTTTTGTTACTCATTTATTGCTTTGTAAGAAAAAAGATGAAATTCCTGCCAGGTTGTCATCTGTATAATCTCCCTCATACTATGACAATATCTTGAAAAGCCTCACATTTTTGTTAAAATAATCTCTTTCTCTTTACAAATGTGGAATTGTACTTGAAAAGTAGAGGCGGAAATAAAGCGCATTCTAGCAGGAAAAGTCAGTTGTAACTAGGAATGGGAACAGGAAAAAATGTTGCTTTAATATTGGGAAGGATTCTTGACTAGTGGGTTACAGAGAACATTTTATTTTTTGACATGATTAAACCTAGAAAGAAATGGAAATCCTGGGTGACTGGTGGTCCAGCACTGGCAGTCTGGCAGCGTTTGTTTAGCACAAGTTAGATGTATTTTCAGACCAGTAAAAAATGTACTTGCCTCTCATTCTCCTCCCCACCTTATTTTTCTCTCTTTACTTACAAGTGCCTTTTTCCACATAATGGTGTTCTTGCCCTTCAGTAATTACAGTGCCACTTTCCCTCTGTCTGTTTAAAAAGGAAACAGACTGGCATTGCGGTGGGAGATGTCTGCCTTGTTCTGGAAGACAGAGAGCCTAACTGGTTAGTAGGGGAGGGAAAGAAAATGGCGTGAGCCATCAAGTGATGGGAGGCAAATCCAGTCTGCACAGACTTCCGTCAAGTTTCCTTGCCGTGGTCAAGATAGTTCCTGTGCTAGTGGAAGCCTAGGGCAGCATGACTGACAGGAACGGTTTGCAGCCGCTGCTGGTGAAGAGATGAGGAGATGTGTGGTATCCAAGCGATCCTCCAGGCGAGACCCCAGAGCATGGGTGTGCAGGGGGTTGCACTTCCTTGGCAGCTGCGCAGCGATGCTCCTGCATGCCTCTGCCGCGCGCTGGTGTCTGCGCCCGGCTGGGTGGATGCTGTGCCTTCAATGGCTTTTCTCATTGCTGTTTCCATGATAGTCCATACCAGTCCATGTCCCCTCCGTTCCTGTTGTTGAACTCCTGGTTCTGTATGTGAAGTTGTTTCCTCCTGGCTTTGGTTGGAGAGAGGATTCATAAATCTCCAGTTTAGCCAGAGATTCTCACATGTGCCACCAGCTTCTCAAGAAAATCAGTGTTTGTTTCCAGCTGCTCACTAAATTTTTGACAGCAAGTGGTGTTTTCCTAAACACTCGTTGCTGAGGGTGGGGCAGAAAATGAAAATTGATGCTACTGAGCATGTCAGCGTTAGGTCTGTGTCCTTATTCCTTCTTTCCTCATTGCCTGGGGGTCATGCTGCCGAGCAGGTAACGGCTGTTGATGCTAGCTGACCTTAGGCACCCTGAATGCATCGGCAATTTCACTTTAACAGTGTGTTACACTGCTGCGTAGTTAGTTGTCTCTGCCAAGATGGAAGAGGTAAGAACCTGCTGGCTGGTTTGGATGCAGTAGGGTTGGCTGCCCCTGTACTTAGAGCTTTGGCTTTTTCCGTATGGTATTTTGGGCACTGGTGGAAAATAAAGCACAGAAAGTGAGAGGCTGGGGATGACTTCCAGGTAGAGACACTTTTGGTGTGTCCCACCTCAGATTATGCACTGGCCTTCTGATTTAGGAAATTCGATGTATATTTTAGCCAAATTGAAATGAAAGCAGTTTTTAATTTACAAACCCATAAATTATCAATGATGCAAATATTAGCCTTGGTTTTGTTGTGGGTGTTTTTTTTGTGGATCAGGGGCGGAGATGTCTTTATGAAAACAACTCCTTGTGTTGTGGCTGCTTGGGGTTCATTTCACTGGTCACTGATCAGCAAGAGAACAAGAGTGGTCACTGGTGCTGATGTCTTAAGGGGTGCTGAAAGGACCAGACGTTCACTTCAGCTTCTGGCAGGCTGCTGTCTGTGCTGCTGGGGCAGTAAGACTTGAAAACACGTTTTTGTCTGTTGGTCCCCAGCTGCCTTGTGGCTCCTAATGGCTGAGCCTGGGGATGGGAGCCTCTTCATGCCCGGCGAGAACGTGGCCGAGGTCAGCACTGTATAGCCTTTGAGGTGGCTTCGGACTACGCAGCTCGTGTTAGCTCTCTTAGTTATCTAACAAGCACTGTTATTTTGTCCACAGAATCAGTAGATATCCTTAAATATAACCTGAGTTTTTGAATGAGCACAATCTGATGGGAGGCAAGGAACAATTCCATTCCTTCGCTGAAATCAAAATCCTTGTCAGCTGAGGAATTTGAAAAACCTATGTTCAAAGCATTTTTAAAGTAGCTGAAAGTACTCTCTGTCTCGGTTCTCATCTGCTTCAAGTGGTTAAGCCTGAAGCAAATCCTGTGTTTTGTGAAAGAGTTTTTATAAAACAGGATGGCGATGCTGTCTGTTAGACCTTCAGTGCTTCTGTATAGATTTTAGCAGGGAGTATTCTACCGTGGTCTTTAGTTAACTTCTTATATCTGATTCTTCAGGTGCAATGTTAAATATTGTTCAAGATTCGGCACTGTTAGAAGCCATTGGCTGTCAGATGGAAACGGTAAGTATTTTTTGTTTACAAAGTTCCCACTTCCGAAGGAATGCATTGCTGGCTTTGTCCGCTGTTGTGCGGTGGTCGGTTAGCATCCTGAGGCTGGAATAGCTTTTTTTCTCCATTATATCTGAGCACATCCTCTGGTATAGGGAACTCTACTCAGAAAAATCTGCTTATCACTCAGAACTGACTTTGAATTTGCAGAATGGTGGTGAAAATAACCTCTTCAAGAGCCACAGTCGTACTAACAGTGGCATCAGCACTGCAAGCGGAGGCAGCACGGAGCCCACGACACCAGACAGTGAACGGCCAGCACAAGCCCTGCTGAGGGATTATGGTAAGCATAGCTCGTCTGGAAAACAAACCAACCAACCAACCTCTGCCATCAGATGCCAGAGTGATGTTTTTTGCAGGTTTTTTTTCCTGTGCCTAATTCTGGCTAATACATTAATGTGCATGGGTGTGTTGAACCCAGGGTGGATAGCCCCTTTGTTTGTTGCCAGTTTGTGCTCGTATGTGCCCTTGAGTTGGGTGGGTTTTAATCCTACTAAGGGACTCTGTGAATATTTTTAAAATACGAATGTAAAAGCTTATGAAAAAGGAGGTGTTTGCAAACTGTTTTACTTCAGCGTGTTTTCAAGACACTTGGTTTTCATGAACAATAATGGGACAAATGTACACCGAGTGCAAACTAATTGCTTCAGTCATTTCGGTAGCATTCCAAATGCTTACCTGGCTTTTGCAGCACCTTCTCTTAAGCTATATTTAAAGAGCATTTTGGGGGACTCCTGTTTTTATACAGCAAGTAAGCAGAATGCTTGTGATGTTTGTTATAACAAGTATTTCTTAACATTAGTTTGCTATGTCTTGTATCATGCATTTTTGAATCTTTGTAATAAAGTCCATGTTCTACTAAATCTGTGTGTGGTCAGCTGGCCGAACGGTGGGGTCCTGGCATTTAACTTGCTCCTTTGGTGGTCTTCAGTTTAACTGGTGTTGACCAAATAGAAGTGAGCTCACCTTGGTATTGTAGCCTAGGCTGACAACTCTGTTCTTGCCAACGAAAATTTTTTTTTCCTCTAGTTCTATAACTAAGGAGAGGAGGGGTATTAGCAGGAAAGAGTTCAGTATGTTCTAGGCATTCATATAAATATGTTGGTGCTTTCTCTCTACAGGATTTGTTTGATTGACATTATTAAACTGCTAGTTTTCAGCACACCATTTGAATTGTGTGTTTAATTTGTATGGGTTCTCATTGACAAGTCCGTGCAAAAAGATCCCTTTGTAATGTTAAAAAAAAAATTTTAAATATTTGACTTACGGAGTCTTTAAACAGTGATGTAACTTGAAAGATATTTTTGTAATATATTAATTCTATTTTATTTATTTATTTCCTGTGCACAGAAGGTAAGGGTGTATGAAATTTATGAAAAGAATTTGAAACTGGGTGCTTCACACAATAGAAAACTGAAAACAAAATGGTCTGATTTTACAGGGATTATCCAAAACGTCTTTAAAAAAAAAACTTTTACAATTGAGATAAGCTAGTCTGAATGTATTTGTACAGTGTCTGGTGGTGTGTAGAAGGGAGTTAGCCTGTGCAAAGGTGACCAGCCCTATTTTGAGATTCTGGGGTGTGTATAATTTTATTTTAAGTCTGTGTTGTGGCTGCTGTGGTTGTGCCTGTGCCTTGCTTATTGTCACTAACGCTTAGTTATTTTCCCTCTCTGTGGCATGTGGTATTGGGGTTATATCCTAGCTCTTAATACAGATACAGCTGCTGGACTGCTGATACGCAGTATTCACCTGGTAACCCAAAGGCTCAACTCGCAGTGGAGGCAGGACATGAGTATCTCCCTGGCTGCACTGGAGCTGCTGTCTGGACTAGCAAAGGTGAGAGGCAAAGTTTTGTGTGCCCTGGCCTCTTCTCGAAGGGTGATTATGGTCCTGTTCAGGTGAAAGTCATGCCACCAAAGAGATGTCTCTGTCAGCAAGTGTTCTGTTTGGACACGAGAAAAAACAGTGCTCCTCTTGTACTCTGTCTGCCGATGTGTGTGCTCTGTGGCTCAGGCGATGCATGCCCTGAAAAGCCTGGTGGCTGAAGGTGAAGCTCAGGATGGCTTGTTAGGTACGCGTGGCTCTGCTGTCTGGTTCTGGATGGGGTTGTTGAGCTAGCTGAATGCCTCCTAACCTTTCTCATGGATTCCTGCATGTGTCTGGTTTTGGGTTTTGGGGTTTTTTTACGCTACAGAGGATGCATCTGCCATATTAGGTTGCACGTTCGAGGAGAATCTTGCCACTAAGCTTCCAGTGGCGGTGTAGGGGCTTGGGCCATTAGTTCTCAGCCCCGCTGTGAACCATTTGTCATAGCTTTGCTCGGCTGGGAGGCCGGTCTGTCTGGTCACTGCGTAACCAGACTTAGAAACAAGAGGTTTTGTTGCTGGTAGTTGGCAGATTGCAAATATCCCAGGATATTAAACAACCTCATTGCCCTTTGTGTAGGTGTTGTACCTGCTTTTCCCCTTCCATCTCGTCTTGGAAATAGTGTTCTTAGCTTAGAAAATGATAGTGTATTTCTAATGTGAAGGCATCACCTTCTTCAGAGCTTTATCTGCGCGCAGTGCCTTGATTCGACAGCAAATAACTGAACTAAAACTACAAGGCAGCAGGGGTGGGCTTTGGTTATTGAGAATTGAAACGCCCTTTTCTGCTTGAGGGCTCTTGTCCCCAGGCTGGACATTTGTTAAGCAACAGTCCAGTGTATTTACAGCAGCCACGATGGCGCAGTGTACCAGTTCAGCATTTCCCATCATACTCCCCCAGAAACTCGACAGATCTCTTTGAAATATGTCTCAGGCATTTTTTAGAGCGTGGAGTCAGCACTGAGCCATGTTGGACTGGGTGCTTGTTTTATTACTGCAGCAGCATGAGCTGGAGGATGCATTTCAAAGTGCTCTGCAATTAATTAACGTGTGGTTGTTTGGTCTTAGAGTGTTGTACAGAACCAGGGGTTCCTGCAGCTTGTGTGGTTAAGCCAGGGGTTTGGGTTTTTTTTCTTGGATTGCAAGGAGACAGGAATGTGAAAATACATTATCTTTTCAAACGCTTCCCCAGGTTAATATGAAATACTGTAATTTTTGTATAATTCTCACGCATCTGAGGTAGTTTTTTCTCTGGGGTATCTTGGATACCTTTCCCCTTTGTAACAAAGAGGGTAGAAAGAGATCACCTCCTGCTGCAGAACTGCAGAGTGGAGAACTGGATCTGCTTGTGCCTTGGGAGGTGACAATTGGCCCAGCCCTGCTCAGGTGGTGGGCTGTCCTGTCTTCTGTCTGTTCAGCACCAGGTTGTTAGTGGGACTTGGCAGATTCAAAAATCCTGTGACAGTGCTGGTTCCCCAGCCTGCCTTTCGGCAGCTCATCTTGAGGGGACTCCCTTTGCCGTAGATCTTACGCTTCTGGAGGAAACGCTGCCTTCGTCCTAGGGTGCTGAATTGTCACCCCCTGCTTTGCAGGGTGCAGCTGTCTGGCTCCGGTGGTGTCACCAGCAAGAGCATCCGCCTTCCTGCTTGGATAAGGGTGCACCATAATGAGCAAATCTGTACACGGCGTGGCCAAATGCTACAGAGTAGAAAAATCCAGCTTGAACTGTGACCGTTCCTGTGCCGAGTCACAGGCTTGGGAGAAAAGAGAAATTCAGTTCTTTAGTTTTACAGTGTAGATCCTCGTGACTTGGTGTACCTCTGGTCTGGAGGCTTGCTCTCCGAAGCCCTGAGCTGAGAGAGCAGCTGAGGGTTATTTGCAGTGAGTTTTGGGAGAGGGCTTATGGGGTTTTTTGCCAGTCTGCTTGTCTAAGGTTGGCTTTTCTGTCCGTTCTTCACTGGTGAAAGTTAATGTGCGGACAGAATATGCCTAGTGGAAACCTGTTCAAGCAGAATGACGCCCCGTGGCAGGGAGACTTGGCAGTGAGTGGGTTCTCAGAGGTACAGAATGGGTTGCTGTAGCTGAAGGAGAGAGGTATTTGCTGAAAATAAGTTTAAAATGCAGATTTATTCAGCTTGCAATTAAGTTTCTTATCAAACCGTATTGGTACCGCTCTTGCTCTTGGAAACCAAGCCATGCGGTGTGGTGGCACTTCAGTGTGGCTTTGCTTTCCTGTAAGTTTTGATATCCATCACTGGTAAATATTTTTACCCACAGCTTTTAAGCTGTTACCATAATCATAAGCTGTGATCATAAAAGAGCTCAACCATTGATACCTATTTCTTAAAACTGCATTTAAAAATGCTTTTCAAAACTCTG